GGGTATAGGCCAGGGATGCTGCTAAACATTCTACACTGCACAGTATAACCCCAGCAGAATTTTATCCAGGCCAAAATGTGAGCACTGAGGTTGAGAAACCCTGCTCTGTAATACCTTTTATCAGCCAGAGATTTCAGTGAATCTCTGAAGTTCTTTTGATTATTTATGTTGGTGCTTTTCTTTTCAGGATTCAAAAGCCAAATAACCCCTCATGAAATTCAGCTCAAGGTTTGAAGACTTCCTAGCTTGTCCTATGGACCTCAACACTAAGAACCACAAATTGCAAATTTAATAGGTCATTTTGTATCAAAAGGTCAATTATGAAGCACCTAGAATTTTTCAATTAAAAGAATATATTCTCTGGGTTCTGCTACGGCTCAGACAGTGTTAACTTTTTTTTTTTTTTTTCCTGTTGTGGGTTTTGATCTTTCCCCAGAAATTGGTTTTATTTGATGTATCCAAGTCTTTAAGTTTCTCAATAAAGAAAAAACTCCATAAAACTGCCTATCTTGTGTTGTACTCTAATCACAGTTTTATTCTATAAATCTCTTCACTGGAAGTAATTTTAGGATGTAAATAGGGTCAAGTGAAGTTCTGTATAGCTTATTCTTTCCTGCAGTTATAAGCAGGCTATTTTGGGTTAGCTAGGTGTGCATAATTGTCCCATTTCTTTCTGTTATGGAAGGACTTTATATTTGCTCCATTTAACTTAAGAGAACAGGCATCTGATCAAAGCTGGCCTTGGATCCGATATAGGGGTGGCATGTTTCTGAAGGACATGATGAGATATGCAGAACCTGGTCCCTCCCTCCATGACGTGCTGATGGTGGGTTGTCAGTCCCTTTTCTCTCCCAACATTCCTGCATGCAGGTCAGCATGTCCAGTTCCCCAAATTCTGCAACTGGGGGTTTCCCCTGGCAGCGGGAAAAGCTTGGGAAGATAGGTCCGAGTGGCAACAGCAAACAGTTGCTCAAATCATGTGTTTTGTGATTCCTTTAGTCCTTAAAACAACCTTATTGGCCAAGGCTGACAGTCTACGTGTCCTTTTCCTCCATGAACCCTCCCTTTTTCCTTTCCTTGAGCTTGGCAGGCTCTCCTTCGGGCTTCACCCACATGATCCCATTCCTTGGAATGTTCCGTTTTGGTCGGCTCCCCCTTTTCCTTAAGGTCTGACCCAATGTACAATAGATTCTCCCATTTCCTGATGCCGACCGTGGATAACGCGGCTATGTATTTGCGTTTTCTATTTGCGCCCCTCCAGCCCCACCCGTGCAGCTGCAGAACCTGGTTGGTGCAGGCATCTGCGCTAGAGAGTTAGGGGCGGGGCCTGGGAGCGGGCTTCCGGCGGAAGACGCAGCGGCAAGATGGCTGACACCGCGGGGTGCCTGCGTGGCGGTGACACCGGTCTTGAACGTGACACCGGTCTTGAACCGAGGTTGTGGTTGGCCCGTGGCGGCACGTGGTGGCACGCAGCCGCACATAGCGGCCAGCCGGGATGTGCGCACAGTCTACGTGGCGGCGGCACGTAGCGGTCAGGGCCGGGTCTCATGGGGTTTTTACCCCCGCGGTTTGAATGGTGCTCACTATTTACGTAGCGGCGGCAGGTAGCTGCCAGAGCCCTGTCACGGGTTTTACCCGCGCAGTTCGGTACTTGGTACTGGCGATCTACTGATAACGTGGCGGCACGTAGCGGCCAGGACGCTGTCTCTTATGAGTTTTACCCGCGGAGTTCGGTACTTGGTACTGGCGATCTACTGATAACGTGGCGGCACGTAGCGGCCAGGACGCTGTCTCTTATGAGTTTTACCCGCGGAGTTCGGTACTTGGTACTGGCGATCTACTGATAACGTGGCGGCACGTAGCAGCCAGGACGCTGTCTCTTACGAGTTTTACCCGAAAAGTGCTCGGGATCTACGTGGCGGCACGTAGCGGCCAGGACGCTGTCTCTTACGAGTTTTACCCGAAAAGTGCTCGGGATCTACGTGGCGGCACGTAGCGGCCAGGACGCTGTCTCTTATGAGTTTTACCCGCGCAGTTCGGTACTTGGTACTGGCGATCTACTGATTCACGTGGCGGCAGGTAGTGGCCAGTACACTGTCTCTTATGAGTTTTACCCGAAAGGTGCTCGGGCTCTACCTGGCGGCACGTAGCGGCCAGGACCTGGTCTCAAAACCCGCGCAGTTTGAAAGGTGCTAGGAATCTACGTGGCGGTCAGGGTCTCATGGGGTTTTACCCGTGAAGTTTGAAAGGTGCTCGCGATCTACCTGGCGGCCAGGACCCTGTCTCGGGGTTTACCCGCTCAGTTTGAACGGTGCTCGCGATCTACCTGGCGGCCAGGACCCGGTCTCAGGGGTTTTACCCTCACAGTTTGAAAGGTGCTCGCGATCTATGTGGGGGCGCTAGCGGCGGGGACCCGGCGTCTTTAGGCTTTACCCCTGCAGTTTGAATGGTGCTCACGACTTGATGGCGCCGTTGAACCTAGCGCTGCCCAGAGTCCTTTTCCCTCGGACCTAGACCAGAACAATGGTGAGATCTGTTATTGGGACCTTGGTTGGAATCCCAAACTCTCAGCCTTGGCTCCCTAGATGAGGCATTTCCAGAATAGTTAGGGAATTATGGAAACAGCCTCACCATTGGTTGGTGAGCACGTGATGCAGTTGTCTGATTGATTGCTGAGGAGGGTCGGGCTGGGGTTTTCCGGGAATAACCACTCCATCTGGAAAGATGAGGGCAAACAGCCTGGAGGTGCTGAGGCCAGAGCTAGGTTTGAAAGGTCAAGAGTTAGGCTCCAAGGTGGGAGCAGGGCGCCGGCCTGAATGGAGAGCAGGAAGAGCAAAAGCCTAGAGGGGTGAAGTAAGTCTAGCTCTTGGAGGCAAATAATTTCGGCTGGGGAAGCAGAGGAGAAAAGGCTAGAGAGTCAGGTTATGAAGGTCTTATATGCCACGCTAAGGAATTTGGACCGGTCCTATGGGCATTGGTGAGCTTTAGGGCAATATTAAGCAGGGCTGTGCTGTAATCAGATTTGCACTTTCTTGGAATCATTGTAGTCACTGTACAGAGGAAGGAGAAATGAAGTGGTGAGCTCATTTGGAAGCTGTCAGAGGGGCTAGATGTAGGCTGAAGAGGGATGGGGAGAAGTTACTTTGTGTACTCAAAAGACTGTAGGGCCCCTCCTTTTCTGGCCTTTGACTATCTTTTATTATTATTATTTTTTAAAATATATTTTATTGATTTTTTCCCAGGCGGTCTCCCATCCAAGTACTAACCAGGCCCGACCCTGCTTAGCTTCCGAGATCAGACGAGATCGGGCGCGTTCAGGGTGGTGTGGCCGTTATTTTATTGATTTTTTACAGAGAGGAAGGGAGAGAGAGAGAGAGTCAGAAACATCGATGAGAGAGAGACATCGATCAGCTGCCTCCTGCACACCCCCCAGTGGGGATGTGCCCACAACCAAGATACATGCCCTTGACCAGAATTGAACCTGGGACCCTTGAGTCCGCAGGCCAACGCTCTATCCACTGAGCCAAACTGGTTCGGCCAGACTTTGACTATCTTGCTAGCACATTGTTACTGCAGCCATACCAAGAGTATGGAGGACATTAGTTCCGAAGGAGCTTGGTGCCTTTGTAGGTGGGCTGACAGAGGAAGTGGATGGTAAAATTCTTTATGCAGCATTTACTTTTTTTGGAGACATCACAGACATTCAGATTCCACTGGAATATGGAACAGATGAGTCTTTCCAATGTCTCTCATGTTTAGATTCCTAATGAGAATCCAGCTCTGCTACTAACTTTGTGTGTGACTCTCAAACTGTCTGAGTTGTTCAGGGAAAGAGCTTGAGAACATTAAGTCATGTGCATTCATTGTAATTTGGTATGTACTGAAGTTAGGGAGGAAGTCACTGATCTTGGCGATGGAAAAGGAATGTTCTAAGGATCACGAAGCCAAGATGGTGGGATGGCTGTGGGCTGAAATGTACAGAGACTGACAATTTGTCGGATTTGAAGAAAGGCTTTCTCCACATTGGAACCATTTGGGGCCTGTGATTTCTGATTATTTAACTTATAAACTGTATAGTAAGAATCAGTAAGAAGATGGTCTCTCTTGAAAAGTCTGGTTATTGTCTCACACTTGCTGGTAGCTGAAACCCACCACATCTTCTGACCAGATTTTCCTTCTTGGCAGCTGTGCTTTCAATATGTTTTTTGTTTGTTTGTTTTTTCATTTTAGAGCGAGAGGAAGAAGAGGGAGAGAGAAACATCGGTCAGCTATGGGGGCTGATCCCACAACCTCGGGCATGTGTTCTGACGGGGAATCAAGATAGCAACCTGTAGGTGCACAAGAGGATGCCCAACCAACTGAGCCACACTGGCCAGGGCATTGGCAGCTGTGTTTTTAAAAAGCAGAGGGAAGCTCAGCCTCGACAATGGAGCCTTGGCCTCTGGTCACCTGGGTGAGTTTTCCTTCAGTTGGTATCACAGTTATAGTGCCATGGTTCTAATTGATCCATGGTTGTTATTTTTTAAGATAAGAGTTTTAGACCCAGCTCTGCCACTTTGTGTGTCACTCTTAAACTCTTTGAGCCTTGAGTTTATTTTTATTTTTTATTTTTATTTTTATATGAGCGTTTATTCCAATAATGCTGGCCGTATGGGAGAGCAGCAAGTCATCCATAAAAATCTTTCAATTCTTTTAAAAATATATACATATTTTTTATTGATTTCAGAGAGGAAAGGAGAAAGAGATAGAAACATCAATGATGAGAGAAGCTCAAGCCCACAACCTCGGACATATGCCCTGACCAGGAATTGTATCTCAGTCTTCTGGTTCATAAGTTGATGTTCAACCGCTGAGCCACACCAGCTGGGCAAGTTCTTCAATAAAATGGTAAGGCTGGCTTTTTTTTTTTAAATATATTTTATTGATTTTTTACAGAGAGGAAGGGAGAGAGGGATAGAGAGTTAGAAACATCGATCAGCTGCCTCCTGCAAACTCCCCACTAGGGATGTGCCCGCAACCAAGGTACATGCCCTTGACTGGAATCAAACCGGGGACCCTTGAGTCCACAGGCCGATGCTCTATCCACTGAGCCAAACCGGTTAGGGCAGTAAGGCTGGCTTTTGGAGGCCTTTCTACCCCTGCATTCTATAAATTAGTAGCTCCTATTGTTCTTGCTCTCCGTCAACTGAAATAGCTCTGCTCCCTTCTTAAGTAGTCACCTCACTCAGTGGTGAGATCAGTGCTCTGTATATAGTTAATGCTCAATTGATAGATCAACATTTTTTCCTACTTTCTATGTCCTGTAAACAAAGGTTATCAAAATGCTTGGAAGTGGGGGGTGGGTAAGATCAACCGAAGGACTTGTATGCATGCATATACGCATAACCAATGGACACACGACACTGGGGGGTATGGGAGGCTAGGGGAAAGTCAAGGGGAGGAAAAAAAAAAGGAGACATATATAATATTCTTTGTAATACTTTAAGCAATAAAACAAAAAAAATGCTTGGAAGTAACTTTAAGGCTTAAATTGGGTAGTGGTAGACTTGGATACTACAAAGCTTAAAATTTTTAGCTATATTGACATAAACAAAATTACTTTAATATTTCTGGAAGCATTGTTTACTAAACCAAGGAAAATCTGAAAATTTGATTTTCACTTTTTAAATGATTATCAGGACATGCCCTGCTTCCTCCTCTTGCCCATGCAATTAACTACCGTATTCTCTTGTCCACATAATTAACTACCTATCTCTGCTATTGTAGAAAAGCACCAGGGATTTGCTGTTGTTGAACTAGAGTTGGCAGAGTTAAGTTTCACTGTTCATTATTTGATTAGTGTTACTGTTGTCATTGGTTACAAAGGTGCCATTCTCCATTTGGGTGGGTAGAGTAGATTCCTGGGGCTGCCATAACAAATTACCACAAACATGGTGACTAAAACAATAGAAGTTTATTCTCACAGCTCTGGAAGTTAGAAATCTAAAATCAAAGTATTGTCAGGGCCATGCTCTCTCTGAATGTTCTAGGAAAGTTCTTTCCTTCCTGGCTTCTGGTGGCTCCTGGCCATCCTTGGCACTCTATGGCTTGTAACTGCATCACTCCAATCTCTGCACCAGTCTGCACGTGGCCTTCTTCCCTGTGTGTGTGTGTCTGTCTTCTCTCTTAAAAAAATTATTTTGAGAAACATTGATACGAGTGTGAAACATTAGTCAGCTGCCTTCTATATGCCCCCTACGGTGGATCAAGCCCGCAACCCAAGCAATGTGCTCTGACAGGGAATAGAACTGGAAATCTTTCCGTGCCCTGGCTCATGCCCAACCAACTGAACCTCACCAGCCAGGGCTTTGCCTTCTCTTCTTATAAGGACGCTATTCACTGGCTTTAGGCCAACCCTAGTCCAGTATGACCTCATCTTAACTAATTACATCTGCAAAGACCCTAATTCTAAACAGGGTCACATTCTGAGGCACATGTGAAATTTGGCTTGTGGTGAGGTAGGAAATTCCGGCTAAAAGTTCCCCTCATGTAGTCAGAATGCGGAAGACAGGTCCCGCAGAGCCCTGGGCCTTCTGACCTGGCATTTCTAGTTCCTGTTTCCTGTGTGTCTTCTCTGTTTCCATAACTGGGAACAGGGCTGTATACCACCAGCTCTAACAAACAGTATATGTTCTCTGTTAAGTATATACATACAATCCAGGCAGTGAGGAAGGGAAAATACGTTTTTTCTCCTGTGCTTGAGTTACTGAGTTTATTTAAGTGCCAACTACAAGAAGAGCTGAACTGCAGACATGAGTTTGGGGGAGAGGGCAGGGTGCAGCAGCCACTGATGGAGGGCGGAGAACCTTAGCTTCGCGCTGAGCTGTTCCTGGTGCTTAGTCACAAGACCCTCCTGTACATGCTATGCTGCTAGTTTCCATAGTCAAAGTTATATAGGAACAAATGTGTCATTATTTGGAAGTGTTCACTATGAACTATTTATAAAATTAATTCTTATTTAGATAGCCCCCCATTTAACATTTGAATGAGTCCCAGCCATCTTTGTTGACCCATCCTTCCCTGACTGTTCTGTATCTACATTGGAGGTCAGGAACCTGCAGATGATGGGCCGGCGCCATCTGCAGCTGTTCTTGTGTGGCCTGTGAGCTAAATGGCTTTTATATTTTTAAAGGTTTGTGTGTAGATGTGACCCGCGCCCCTTCCCCGGTGCGTTATTGTTCGCCCAGAGAGGTCAGCCTGGCGGCACTGGCGCCCTGACGCCGCCTAGTGGCCGCCACTGGAGACACTCCCTCCGCCGCCCCCTCCTCCCTGCGGCGGCAGCGGAGGAGGCAGAGGAGGGGGAGCTGGGAGTCCCTCTCCTCCCTCCCTCCCTCTCCTCCCGGCAGCTGCGTCAACGGCTGATCCGGGTTCTGGCACTGCCGCAGCCGCGTCAACGGCGGATCCCGGCTCGGCAGCTGCGTCAACAGCTGATCCGGGCTCTGGCGCAGCAGCTGCGTCAACGGCGGATCCCGGCTCCGGCAGCAGCATCAACCGCGGCTCCCGGCTCCGGCAGCTGCATCAACCGCGGCTCCCGGCTCCCGGCTCCGGCAGCTGCATCAACCGCGGCTCCCGGCTTCGGCAGCTGCATCATCCGCGGATCCCGGCTCCGGCGCCAGGGGCTGCGATGCGCTGGGCCTGAGGCTGTCTGCCCGGCTCTTGCTCGCTTCCCTTGACTCTCCCACGGCTTGCGCCGCAGCATCATCCCGCGAGTGCCTCTGACAGGAGGGAAGATGGCTGAAAACAGCTGGATGGACGACCTTGCCGAGGAGCTCGACATATGGGTAATAGGGCTGCAAAAATGGATCACTCTTAAGCTCACCGAGCGGGGCATCGACATGAGTCCGGCGGCGGTGGCGCGGTACCAGGGCTGGTGGGCCCTGCTGGGCTGGCACTTGCTCGTGCTGACGGTGGTCTTCCTGCTGGGCTATGGCTGGGTTGCGATGTGCTCCTGGGCCGCGTCGTTTGCCAACGAGCCCCCAGAACGCAAGAAGCGGAGGAGCGCGCCCCGCCGGCGGGAGGAGGCGGCAGGCGCTGGCGCTGGCGCTGGCGTTGGCGCAGGCGCAGGCGTTGGCGTTGCCGCTGGCGCTGGCGCTGGCGTTGCCGTTGGCGCTGGCGCTGGCGCTGCCGTTGGCGCTGGCGCCCGCAAGAAGCGGAGGAGCCCGCTCTGCCGGCGGCGGGAGGCGGCCGCGCCGGCCTCGGCCTCCTACAACCTGCCGCTGCTGAAGAGCCTCCGGAGCGAGGAGCAGAAGAGGGGCCGCAAGAAACTGCCCGAGAAGCCCAGAGACTTGCTGAGAGAGAGATACCCTGCTGCGAGGCAGGCATTAACCAATTGCCTCCCCTACATGCCCCGGCCGGTAATCAGACCTCCAACCCACGTGTGCGCCCCGACTCGATTTCCTGGATATCGAAGCCACCTTGCGATGCACAGGATGGCACTCAACCAACCGGATGAGTACGACGAGCTGGAAACCTTTTTCATTTGGGTTAGGCCAAATGGGCGCGCTGTTGAAGTGGCTGAGATGCAAGTGGCTCGCAGTGTAACCACCAAGCAGCCATCAGAGACGGAGAAGAAGAATGAAGAGTCAAAGAAAAACAACTAGAATCAAAGTCAGATGCTAAAGCAGTGCAAAACAGTTTATGCCATGATGGGAAGGAAGCTGATGAAGGAGCCTGGGAAACTAAAATTAGTCACAGAGAAAAATGAAAGCAACCTAAACCTGATAAGGTGTAGACTGGTTCTAGTTCATTGGATTCAGCTCTCCCTGGGATAGGAAATACCATCACAGTTACCACCAAGCAATTTACAACTGCATCATTTCATGTTGGTGAATCTCATCTAAATGTTTGAGTTAGCAACTTTAAGTCTGGAAAAGAAGATCCTAAACTTCAGTTTTCTTTAGGATTGAATGAAAACCTCAGTGTAAATGGAGGAGACTGCAATGAAAAGTCTATAAAACTCACCTCTCAGATAATGGCAGGTGAAGAGAAGTGGAACTCTGTTTCATCTACTTCTGCAGATGAGAAAAGCAGCCATCTGCTTGGGGTCAAGACACGAGATGCTAATGCGAATGGAAAAGACTATGGAAGGAGTTGGAGTGACCATTCAATATTTTCCGACATTGCTGCTTGGTCTAGTGTGGATAGGGGAATGAAAACCTCTGAACACAATTCTGCTTCTTGTGCATCTCACCCTTGGCTGTTTTTGTGTCTATGTGTACTGCTGAGCTGTTTCTCAGTCTATGACTACTGATGATCAAAAAGTTTCAGATGATGATAAAGAAAAGGAAGAGGGTGTTCTTTCAACCAGGAGACCTAAAAAGAAAAAGAAGCAGCAAGGTGACGATAACTCTCCTGCACAGGACCCAGAAGAATTAGAAAAAGAGATTAGGGAAGAGCTTCCAGTGAATACATCTAAAGTCCGTCCAAAATAGGAAAAAGCTTTTTCTTAGAAAACCATAAGTACTAGAGATCTAGTAGAAGCACTCGTCAAAAATAACCATCCTATCAAGACTCGTCCACCTGCTGTTTCTACCGATCCATCTGTTACTTTATCAAAAAGTGATTCTGACAAGAGCTCTTCCCAAGTGGCACCGATGCTACAAGGGTCAGATAAATCCAAGTCAAATACTAAGTTCACAAACCAAGTTTGGAACTAGCTGGGAAACATGAATTTTCTTTTTCTGAATAGGACATGTGTTTGCAGACATTGTCTTGAAGATTATGCTGTGTATGTAATAATTTGTGAACATGTACAGAGTTATGTAAATTTAAACCAATTTTTAAGACAAAAATGGAATCAGAGGACAGTTAATTTATGAAATTAAGAGGTCAGCAGAATATACTACAGACAGTCCTCGGGTTATGTTGAACTCGAGATGTACGTTGTTTTCGTGGTTACGGTGCCATCTCCCATTTATTTATTTAAAAAAAAGTTCTGTCATTTCGACATATGTACATATGTGCTTTGTTTTTTATTATTTATTTACCACAAGTAAAGGTCAGGAATTGTTACTTTAAAAATTTTTTTTACTGTTTCATTTCATTACTGCTGTATATGTGCTCCATGTGAGTGATGTAGGTGCTTATGTAAGTGGGTTCTGACTTATGGCGAAAAATCGCGTTACATCGGGCCATAGGAACCGATTTCCGACGTCACCTGAGGACCTACTGTACATTGCTGGAAGACACTTGGGAAAGTCTTCAATTTAATGAGAACATTCTTAATTCAAGAATATTATCCTGGTTTACAACAGATTGTGCCCTATCTCATCTGCAACTGAGGAATAAAGGATTCTGATTAGAGAGGGTTGCCTACAAATTCATAGGCAACTTCTTGGACTTTATGCATGGAACTTATATCATTTGAATCTGTTTTATGCTTAAAGTGCTTTGATCAAATGCATAATCTGCCATATCTTTACATATTTGTTGGTAGCAATGTGTATTAAAGAAATCACGTGCAAAAAAAATAAAATAAAAATAAAATAAAAGGTTGTGTGTGTGTGTGGGGGGGGGGGCCGGGGGGTTGGCGGGGGGGGGGGTGTGGTGAGGTGGGCGGGATATGTAGCAGAGACTGTATGTGGCCTGCAAAGTTTAAAATATTTAATCTCTAACCCTTTTCAGAAAGTTTGTTAACCTTTAGTCTAGGGCAGTGATTTTTCAACTGGTGTGCTGCAAGAATTTTTAAAACATGCAGTACCTGACTATTTAGTCAGGGGTGCTGACCCCATTTCCCTTAGAGCAGTGGTTCTCAACCTTGGCTGCATATTAGAATCACCTGGGAATCTTTTTAAAATCCTGATTTCTGGGCCTCATCCTCCGGAAATTCTGTTTCTTTGTTATGGGGTGGGGCCACAACATTAGTAACAAAGAAACAGAATTTCCAGAGGATGAGGCCCAGAAATCAGGATTTTAAAAAGATTCCCAGGTGATTCTAATGTGCAGCCAAGGTTGAGAACCACTGCCTTAGATTGTCAAAGAATGACAGCAGTGAATACAATAGCCGTCCTGTATGAATGAATAAAACAATTTTTGTCAGATCAACAAAAAAATTTTTTTTTCTTGGTGTGTAGGAGAACTTTAGTAATAGTGTATATGTGCCATGAGATGAAAAGGAGTATAAATTGATTGCAAGTTAAAATTATGAATCTTGCATAAGAGGCAAGATATTTCATGAAATATCTAAAAGTGATTATGGAAAACTGCTGTTTTGGGCTCTAGTTTAAAAAGTGAGACTTGCCCTAACCCAGTGGTCGGCACACTGCGGCTCGCGAGCCACACACGACTCTTTGGCACCTTGAGTGTGGCTCTTCCACAAAATACCACGTGCGGGCGCACGGACAGTGTGATTGAAACTTTGTGGCCCATGCGCAGAAGTCGGTTTTCGGCCTGGGCGAGTCTATTTTGAAGAAGTGGCGTTAGAAGTGGGTGTTGGTCGGTCGGGCGATGGGAGATACGCAGCGCGGGGTGGGGGGGTGGGGGAGGAGGTACATTGTTTTGAGGTACATTTGCTGAGGTCAACCCCTTCCAACTCTCCCATCCACATTCATCTATCTGAAACAAGTATGCAAGACGAGTGTGGATGGGAGAGTTGGAAGGGGTCAACCTCAGTGAACGTACCTCAGATTGAGGACGTTTTTAGCAAAGGCCAGCTTAGAAGTACCCTAATTAAGTTAATAACAATATACCTACCTATATAGTTTAAGTTTAAAAAATTTGGCACTCAAAAGAAATTTCAATCATTGTACTGTTGATATTTGGCTCTGTTGACTAATGAGTTGGCCGACCACTGCCCTAACTGGTTTGTCTCAGTGGATAGAGCGATGGCCTGCGGACTGAAAGGTCCCAGGTTCGATTCTGGTCAAGGGCATGTACCTTGGTTGTGGGCACATCCCCAGTAGGAGGTGTGCAGGAGGCAGCTGATCGATGTTTCTAACTATCCTTCTCCCTTCCTCTGTAAAATATCAACGAAATATATTTTTTTAAAGTATTAATACATTTTTTAAAATATATTATTTATATATATTTATATATATATATATATATATATTGCTTTCTGAGAGGAAGGGAGAGGGAGAAAGAGCTAGAAATATCAAGGATGAGAGAAAATCATTGATTGGCTGCCTCCTGCACGCCCCCTACTAGGGATTTAGCCCACAACCTGGGCATGTGCCTTTGACCAGAATCGAACCCAGTCTGCAGGCTGACACTCTTATCTATTGAGCCAAACCAGCCAGGGCAGAAAGCGAGGCTCTTTTGAGCCATTGAAAAGTGACCCTCTTGTGAAGTTAACCCAATTAACAACCAAGGAATAGAATACCTACAGGATTATGACGGGCTGGGTGCTTCAGAAGAAATGAATTACTATTACTGTTCTAACAAATCACCACAAATTGGGTGGTTTACACAATACAAGTGTGTTACCTTATAGTTCCAGACATCGGAAGTCCAAAATGGGTCTCACCAAGTTACAGTCGAGGTGTCAGCAGGGCTGTGTTCCTTCTGGAGGCTCCAGGGGAGAACCTGTTTCTTTGACTTTTCCAGCCTCTATTGATTGACCACATTCCTTAGCGGTGGGCCCCTTCCATCTTCATACCAGCAAGAGCCAGGCAAGTCTTTCTCACAGTGTGTCACTCTTTATTATCAGCTGATAACCTTAATTCCATCGGTAACCTTAATTCCTTCTTGTCATATCATAAGCATATTCTCAGGTTTCAAGGATAGAATGTGGACAACGTGTTGAGGGGCATTATTTTGCCCACCACAAAACCCTTAAATGTTTGACCATTAAAAAAAAATCTTTAGGATCAATCTTATCGCTTCTCGGCCTTTTGGCTAAGATCAAGTGTAGGATCAATCTTTATGACTAAGTGTGAAATAAGGATGTCATTTTGTGCTGTCATTCAATTTTTTTTAAAGTTGCTGGAAATAAAAATAGTACTTTATTCATCTTTGTTTCTAAGCACAAGGGCAACCTAAATCTAAAGAATCTTAATTCATGTTTTGTTTGTTTTTTTAATATATATTTTATTGATTTTTCACAGAGAGGAAGGGAGAGAGATAGAGAGTTAGAAACATCAATGAGAGAGAAACATCGATCAGCCGCCTCCTGCACACCCCCTACTGGGGATGTGCCCGCAACCAAAGTACATGCCCTTGACCGGAATCGAACCTGGGACCCTTCGGTCCGCAGGCCGATGCTCCATCCACTGAGCCAAACCGGTTACGGCTTAATTCATGTTTTTTAATCTTTATGAAAGGGTCCAAAATAAACTCTTTTTAAAAAATATATTTTTATTGATTTCAGAGAGGAAGGAAGAGTGAGAGAGAAATAGAAACATCAATGATGAGGGAAAAATCATTGATCTGCTACCTCCTACACACCCCCTCCTGGGTATGAACCCACCCCCAGGGCATGTACCCTGACCAGGAATTGAACTGTGACCTCCTGGTTCATAAGTCGATGCTCAACCACTGAGCCACACTGGCCGGGCAACAACACGCCCCCCCCCCCCCCCCCCCCGTTTTAAATCTCTCTACTTGCCTTTTCTTAGTATCACTTATGTTTGTTCTGCAGGCTCCTATATTAGAAGGGACTTTTGTTATTTTTTAAGGGGCATTCTTACAGCCATTGATTATAGTGAGCCATTTCTCAACACTCTTCTTTCCACTTAAGGAATTGAAATACAGCGTGATAAGGATAATGCCAAAGCAAGAATCACTGGTTCCTCAGCTAGGAAACAAAATACACACTCAATTGCTTGACACTTTATTAAACACAAAGCAAGATTAAGCGTCTTTGCCTTCATGGTAAGAGCCGCAGCAGGAGGCTAGGGAGGGGATGACTGCGCAGCTTTCCTCCTCGGGGAAGATGCGCTCCCTGTAGCCTGTGTTGTGGGGAGGGGGAGGGCTGCCACACCCCCAGCAGGAGTCAGAGCATCTGCTCACCTTCCTGCTCTTCCTGTTACTGAGCAGCTCTTCTGACCTCTGATGTTGTCTTGGCTGTTCCCTGATCTGTTAACTCTCCCAGCTTCTGATGCTGATCATACCAGTCTCCCACCATCATAGACACCAGACTTGAAGAGCCAGCTCTAAAGATTTTGGCTTGGGGTGCATTCTGAGTGAGGATGAAGGGTTCCGTTGGAGGCCTGGCCTGAGGAGATGAGCAAGAAGTCGATGCCTCTTTGGAGTCTTTTTCTCTCAGGAGCTTTATCTCCTGGTCAATGCTCTCGGTCTCCTCTAAGCTCATACCAGTCCACCTTCGAGGTGAAGGAGGTACAACGTGTGAACACGCCATCATCTGCCTCACCACTTTCCACAGCAGATTTCAGTGCAGACAACCCACACCCCACCTCCTCCTTTGCTTGCGCCTCTGTTTTAGGCCATCTCTGAGGTGCCATAGCCATGAGATTAGGGTGGGCCATTGAGGAACTAGCAGTGTTGCCTTCAGTTGAGTTGTTTTTGGTTTTGGGCAACTCAGACTCTGCCACATGATAGGGCTGGCACTGAGTTAAGTAGTTTAAAAAGTGTTCTCGAGCCCACAGCAAGTTATCTAGGCGCCTGCCAGGTTGGCTTGTGTCATGGCGAGCGCTCCCTGAAATGCTGGCACTTCAGGTCGGTGCAAGCAATCTCTTCCAAATCTTCATGTTGGCTGAACAAGTCGAGCTGCAATAACACTTTGGCAGCCTTCTTAAGGAGGTGTAGTCCTTTCAACACCTTCTCTCGGATTACCCAGGAACTGCTGGATTCAGCCGCTACTTCCACTTCGTCCGGAAACTTCTTGCTGATCGCCAACAGCTTGGGGAGAAGCACCGCAGTAACCCGTCTTCTTCGGCTGCTGCCATCTTGGCGGAGGGCCCTCATATCACTTATTCTTGAACAATGGAATAGTCCATACTTCTCCCCACGTTCTCTGCTACTCTTCCATGAAATGTCTCTCTCAACAGTCAGCAATCCCAGTTTTTCCAGTTCAGTGCTGAGCTTGACTTTTAAGGTGGACTCGGTACTCGGTCACTGCATTCATCCTTACCGTCTCAGATCCGAAGATCATGTCAGCACAGACCTTCCTGTTGGGAGAACGGAAGTGTGTGGTGTCTCCGGGACTCTTTATGGTTGGTCTTGTGCTTAGCTTGTTGTTGGGAGACGGGGTGCAGGCTCCTAGTTTAGAATTAATCGTCAGTCTCAGACTTCTTAGAAGTAAATGGCAGGCTGTCAGGTATTCTTTTAATCTAATGAGGTTTAAGGAGCTGATGTGTTATCGTCCTTTCAGAGTGAATCTGAATTCTTTGGGAGAAAAATTTGTGGCAATTTGACCAAACCAGTGATGGGGATTAAGGAAGGCTCTTCCAGACCAGGTGAGTGGGCCACCACAGATTCCCCATCATGTCCCTGACGTTGGCCCCTTTGCATTTTCATCTCTGTCTTACTTCCTGCTATGGTGGTAGTGCGTGCATGAATGGAGTGGTTTGTAGTAGGGAGAGAATGTGGCTCCTCCAGGGAAGTAATAGAGGCGGAGATTCTCAGCAAAGCCAGAGGCATTGTCCCCATCAAAGTCTTGCTTTTGGACACAGACACAGACATAGCTGTGCCCTTCCCGCCTTAACAAGGGTGGGACTTACTTTTGCTCTGCTTAGTCCCTCTTTTTTCTTTTTTTAAAATATATTTTTATTGATTTCAGGGAGTAAAGGAGAGGGTGAGAGAGATAGAAACATCAATGATGAGAATCATTGATCAGCTGCCTCCTGCACGCCCCCTACTGGGGGTTGAGCTTGTAACCCGGCATGTGCCCTTGACCAGAATTGAACCCGGGACCCTTGTCCATAGGCTGACACTCTATCCACTGAACCAAACCAGCTAGGCCATCTTATTTCTTTTTTTAATCCTCACCCAAGGATATGTTGTGTGGTTTTTTGTTGTTGTTTTTAATATATTTTTATTGATTTCAGAGAGGAAGGGAGAAGGAGAGAGTGAGAGAAACATTGTTGATGAGAGAGAATCATTGACCGGCTGCCTCCTGCAGGCCCCACACTGGGGATCGAACCCGCAACCCAGACATATGTCCTAACCAGGAATCTAACTGTGACTTCCTGGTTCATAGGTCGACACTCAACCACTGAGCAACATTGGCCCGGCTGTTGTTTTTATTAATTTTAGAGAGAGGAACGGAGAGAGAAACATTGATTGGTTGCCTCCTATATTTGTCCTGAGTGGGGACTTGAACCTGCAACCTTATTTTTATTTTTATTTTTTCAGATTTTTTTTTATGTTTTTATTGATTTCAGAGAGGAAGGTAGAGGGAGAGAGAGATAGAAATATCAACGATGAGAGAGAATCATTGATCGACTGCCTCCTATTATGCCCCTTACTGGGTATTGAGCCCACAACCAGGGCATGTACCCTTGACCAGAATCGAACCCCGGACCCTTCAGTCCTCAGGCCAATGCTCTATCCACTGAGCCAAACCAGCCAGGGCCTGCAACCTTTATGGTGCACGGGACAATGTTCCAATTGAGCCACACTGGCCAGGGCTCAGCTTAGTCCCTCTTTACTGTCATTTGCCTCTGCTAAGACCTGACTTGAAGGCTTGACATTTCCCACTGACAACTTTCCTTGTTCTGGGAGTGCCTCAGAGGTAACTTCTGCCTGTGACAGAAGTTACACACATGCGTGTCTACTATCTTCCTAATCCTGCCCTGGTTTCAGAGACCCCTCCCCTCAGGCGCAGCTCTCCGGCCTGTCCATACACCATCCTGACCTTTGCTTCTCGGAATCATGCAGGCTCCTCTCTCCACCCTTTGACAGTGGTGTTTCTCTGAGTTCCTTCCTTAGCCCTCAGCTCCTCTCTCCACACTGTCCTTGGACAGTTTCCGCCACTTCTGTCCCGTGAGGTTGTAGCCATTCAACGTTCTGGCCTCTCGTCCTAGCCCTGACTTCTCTCCCAAGTTTCACGTGTTTCTGCCTGCACGTCTCACAATCGCCGTAAACGAAGCCGTTCCCAAAGCCGCTCCTTTCACGCCGGTTGGTCTTCCCGGGCCTGATCTTGTTAATTTTGCTGTCTTCCACATATTTGCCCAAACCAGGAGCCTCCCTGTCATCTTAGCCCCTCACGATTTTTATCTGATGCATTGCCGTAGCCGGCTAATTTTATCTCTTACGTCTTCCGGGATCTCTCCCCTCCTGTTTGTTCCTGCCACATTTTCTTGGCTTATCCTCTGTCATCTCTCCTGTGAGTAATGACAGTAGCTGGTCTCCGTGCCCCAGGCCTGTGTCCTGCCCTGAGCAGCAGGGGGAGCTGCCTGAGCACAGATCTGATGACGTCGCTCTCAGCGTTCTCGGGGTCCCTCATGACTGGATTGAGTCTGGGATAGGAGGGCTGCCATGTTTTTATTCTATGAAACAAAAGTTTGTAGTTACCTATAAATCTTATGTTTTTGCATAAGCAGTTCCTTTGCCTAAGATGCCCTTTCCAACTTATTTGATCTGGTTAACCCCTACTCCCTGTCAGAACTGAGCTCAGTCGCTGCCTTCTGCAGGAAACTTCCCTCGTCCTCCAGTTGAGTTAGATAGTGTCCCTCCTGGGCTTCCGTAGAACCCTCTCTCCAAGCATTTACTGCTTTGTTTTGGCATTACTTATTTAACAAACGTCTCATTGTTGTTTACTCTGTGTTCTAACCACTTTACAAATATTTAATCCTATTGATAATCCTATGAGATAAATACTATTATTATTCCCAGTTCTCGGTGACAAAACGGGCCCAGTGAGGTCAAATAACTTGTCGGACATTACACGGCCTGTAGGTGGTGGATCTGAGATTTGAAGCAAGGCTGTATCAGTGTGGGATGTGTGCCTCCCTCAGTTGTGGACATCCCTTCCCCATTGCATAGCCAATTCTTCAAGGGCAGAACCTTATCAGACTTACCCCCAGTGCTTGGCCTGATAGTTCAGCACCCCTATGTTTTGTTGTATTGTTTTTTCTTTTTCGATATATTTTTATTGATTTCAGAGAGGAAGGAAGAAAGAGATAGAAACATCAGTGATGAGAGAGAATTAATCACCAGCTGCCTCCTGCACGCCCCCCACTGGAGATCACGCCTGCAACCCAGGCATATGCCCTAATCGGGAATCAAACCATGACCTCCTGGTTCATGAGTTGATGCTCAACCACTGAGCCACACTGGCCGGGCTCAATGCCTGTATGTTGACCTAGCTACACTACAAGGTGGTCAAAGACAATAGTTTTCTTTATCAAACAAATGGAGAGTTTGTAATGAATGTTTTATTTATCTAGTCAGCCTGGTCTGCTTGGAGCATAAAGCAAGGCCCAACCTCCTCCCTTGTCTTTGAGCACTGAGGCCCAGGAAGAGGGCTGCCCTCCTTGGTCCCAGTGCAGCCAACCTGTGACTATGTAGGGTTAGGCAAGAGGGAGAGGTTAGCGTCTCTTTGACTGGCGTGAGGTGAGTGGGCTTGAGCTGGGGTTTGAAGTGTTGAGAGTTGTATTGGGCCGGAACAGTGTTATACGTGACTGGAGGGAGGGTGAAGCAAGCCTGCGTGTCTGAGGGCAGGTCGAGTGTGATGAGGTCCGTGCCTGCAGGGTGGGCTGGAATTAGTGCTGCAGTCTCCGACTGCTGATCCAGCTTGGTGCTATGGCCATGGCCTCTGCCTTCTGCAGCCCCAGCGGGGCCCAGGCCACCCCTGTCAGCACCTCACTCCAGCCTGCTCCCTGCACTTGGGTTCTGGGTGTGTATGCAGAAGACTACTCGCTGTCTTGCTCTGGGAGTCAGGGAGTTCTCTCTAACCTAGCGATTTCTTTACCCAGGGAGAGGCCCTGCCAAAGAGGCCTTGTCAAACCCTCAGGTGCCCATGGACATCAAGACTGGGCGCAAGCCAGCCAGCCGCATCCAGATACTCCTGCGCTCAGACGTCGTTTCCATGACAACAGGTGAGCAGGCTCCGGGGGAAGCTGCTGGCTGAGCAAGCTGAGGAGGAAGCTGCCGCAATCTGCACCCTGGGCACGATTTCTACCGAGTCCGGCAGACATCTTAGATCCCAGCAGCTGGAAACAAGTAAGACAGGGCAGGTGTTTTGAAGCTCTATAAGGGCTTAGGACCATTAGAAAGAACAAGCAGTTAGAAGTTATAAAATATTTTAATTGCCATCTGGTTTAGTTTTATTGTGTGTTTTTAAAAATTATATACTACACATATAAAATAAGAATTCTGTAAGAATAGTACAAGGAACTCTCATATGTCCTTTTTCCGTTCATTAATTTGCTTTTTGCCCCTATACTTTATCATTTTATTATATATAAATGTTTACCCCCCACCCCCCGTGCCAGTTGAGAGGAAGTTGAAGACATGTCCTTTGACTCCTAAATAATTTAGTATGTATTTCCTGAGAACAAGAATATTCCCTTACTAATCACAGTACAACTATCAAAATCAGGAAATATAATATCAATACAACCCTATTAACTAATCTTCAGCCCATATTCAAATTTCATCACTTATCCCAATATTTTCCTTGATAGTAATGTTAGCTGTTTTTCTTCCCAACAAAAATTTGCACATTGCACTCAGTGGTGAGTCTTGTAGTCTCTGTTTTCATTGTCTTTCGTGATGGTGACATCTTTGAAGAGGACAGGCCATTGTCTAAGGTCCTTTCTCAGTTTGTCAACTGGTCCTGCCTCAGGGTCAGATTTAGATGATGTATTTTGGCAGGAATGCCCCAAGAGCACATCTTGTTGTTTATCACTAACAAGATGCACGCTGTTTTCCTTGTTAGTGCATCTTATAAGGAAGTATATGGCATCAGTTCCAATATTTGTGATGTTAGCTTTGATCAGTAGGTTAAGGAGATCTCTGCCAGGTTTTTCCAGTGAAAGTTACTATTTTTTTATTATTATTAAATCTTTATTGCTCAGATTATTACATTTGTTCCTCTTTTTTCCCCCCCATAACTCCCCTCCTCCCAGTTCCCACCCCACCCTCCGCCCTCTCTCCCCACCCACTGTCCTCATCCATAGGTGCACGATTTTTGTCCAGTCTCTTCCCGCATCTCTCACACCCCTTTCCCCCCCAAGAATAGTCAGTCCATTCCCTTTCTATGTCCCTGATTCTATTATAATCACCAGTTCATTCTGTTCATCAGATTATTTATTCACTTGATTCTTAGATTCACTTGTTGATAGATGCGTATTTGTTGTTCATAATTTGTATCTTTACCTTTTTCTTCTTCTTCCTCTTCTTAAAGGATACCTTTCAGCATTTCATATAATACTGGTTTGGTGATGATGAACTCCTTTAGCTTTTCCTTGTCTGTGAAGCTCTTTATCTGACCTTCAATTCTGAATGATAGCTTTGCTGGATAAAGTAATCTTGGTTGTAGGTTCTTGGTATTCATCACTTTGAATATTTCTTGCCACTCCCTTCTGGCTTGCAAAGTTTCTGTTGAGAAATCAGCTGACAGTCATATGGGTATTCCCTTGTAGGTAACTGAGTTTCTTTCTCTTGCTGCTTTTAAGATTCTCTCTTTGTCTTTTGCTCTTGGCATTTTAATTATGATGTGTCTTGGTGTGGTCCTCTTTGGATTCCTTTTGTTTGGGGTTCTCTGCGCTTCCTGGACCTGTAAGTCTATTTCTTTCACCAGGTAGGGGAAGTTTTCTGTCATTATTTCTTCAAATAGGTTTTCAATATCTTGCTCTCTCTCATCTTCTGGCACCCCTATAATTCTGATGTTGGTACGCTTGAAGCTGTCCCAGGGGCTCCTTACACTATCTTCATATTTTCGGATTCTTTTTTCATTTTGCTTTTCTGGTTGGGTGTTTTTTGCTTCTTCACATTTCAAATTTTTGCCTTGATTCTTGCGCTCCTCTGGTCTGCTGTTGGGAGTCTGTATAATATTCTTCTTTTTTTAAAAATATATTTTATTGATTTTTCACAGAGAGGAAGGGAGAGGGACAGAGAGTCAGAAACATCGATGAGAGAGAAACATCGATCAGCCTCCTCCTGCACACCCCCCACTGGGGATGTGCCCGCAACCAAGGTACATGCCCTTGACCAGAATCGAACCTGGGACCTTTCAGTCCGCAGGCCGACGCTCTATCCACTGAGCCAAACAGGTCACGGCTGTATAATATTCTTTATTTCAGTCAGTGTATGCTTAATTTCTAGTTGGTTCTTTATCACAACATCGAGGGTCTCATTAGATTACTTGAGGATCTCACTACATTTATCGGTGGTCTCACCAGTCTTTTCGAGGGCCTTACTAAATTTATCGGCGGCTTCTAGACAGTTCTTGAGAGACCTTAAAAGTGTGGTTTTGAACTCTATATCCTCCATTTCTGTCATTTGTGTCCTGTTTCTTTGTCTCCGCGTTTTTTATGCTATCTTGGTGCACCCCCTTGTGGTCTTCGTACGCAGTCTTGTTGTAGTTAAGCCTTGATTGTTGCAGGTAATATTGGGGGGGATTTGACCTCCAGGCCAACTGGCTATGAGAATCAGCTGTGTCTGCAGTGGGAGAACTTCTGTGCTGGATCTCTAGGGCGGCGCTAATCTAGCCTCTGCCTGAGGCTAACCAGCAAATGCCTCCCTGCAAGGCTTGGGCAGGGCAGGTCCCAGGGGATCACCAGGGCAGTTATGGCTGCTCTCAGTCCCGTCCCCAGAGGCTCTGCCTCTCAGAGTCCCAGCAACTGCTGCAAACCTCGGAGAGAAAGCTGCCCTCGAGTTCCAACTGATGCCAGACAGTCCCGCTTCTCCCGTTTGAGTCTGGGTCCCCAGAGACTCGCCCAGAACTGGAGCTCAGAGTCTGAGACTCCCTCCTGATTGAAACAGACAACCGCGCCCTCAGCTGCCAGCCCACTCCACATGCACCTCCGCACCTTAGTATTTTCCGCACTGCACCTCCTCTGAGTCTCGGTATGCCTTTCTCTTTCCTTCTAGTTGTAGAATTTCCCCTCAGCCAGCTTTCCTGTGGTTCTGGGTGATGTCCGTTCTGTCTTTTAGTTGTATTTTTGAAGTGGTTGTGCGAGGCAGCAATCTCCGGTGTTTACCTATGCCGCCATCTTGGTTTCTTCGAAAGTTACTATTTTTAAGGTTATAAATTAAAAGCTAAAAGAAATTTCCCTCACTATCTGCAGCCATTTCCCAGAGGTAACTACTATTCACTGTTGTGTGTCAGATTTTCTTAAATGTTTATAATGATCCTTTTTACACACAATCCTTTTGTTTCAGTCTAGCCTTTTAAAAAATATTACGGTCATAATTGCACATAGTTTAAAGAAAATCATTCGAGGAGTTTAATTTAAGACATGACAGTCTTCTGCTCCCCCAGCACCATCATTTTTCGCAGGGCATTGGCTCACTTCCCGCTAATGCCGTTGTTCCCCCTCCCCCACCATTACTGACCAAAAACATACCTTGCGGTTTCCAAGTAGCCTCCAGGGGGCAGTGTTTCCCTATTTCGAACCCCTGTCCTAGACAGGCCCATCCCCGGGGCTTTCCATCTTCTCTGAAAGTTACCCCCATATTTCAGTCCAGGGCTGATCACCCCCAGCAGTTCTTGCTCTTCTCGCCAAACCCTTCCTCTCGCTCTTCCTGTTTCAGTCAGTGCCACCACCACATACCCGGCTGGTGAGTCAGAAACTTAGGACTCATCCTTGACCCCTCCTCTCTGTCACCCTGCGTCAGCGTCTTCTATCACCTCCTCCACCACCAAGGTCTTCAGAGCTTGCCTCCAGGCTGCTCTTGCCTCTGGTGGTCTAATATCGAGAGGTAGTCAGGGGGCCCTTCTAAATAGAAACCCAGTCACGTCATTCTGCTGACAGCCCTCCCGGCCGCATCGCCCAAAGGATCCATCCAGCAGGGCCAACCAACCTGGACCTGGCGCCTTCCTGCTCACCTCACCGCCCTGCTACTCCGCCTCTGCGTCCCCACCGCACCTGCCCCCACAGTTCACCCCTCAGGGTCCACAAGTGTGTTCCTCCTCCAGTTTCCAGGGTGCGCCCTTTCTTCAGGTGTCACACGTGTCACCAGGTCCCTGACCTGCCTCTCTATGGACTTCCCTACCATCTCGCCCTGTGGAGTCAGCTTCACCTTTCATCACATACGTACTGCCTGAAATTATACATTTATTTTTCTACTTATTTGTTTTCTGTCTCCCTTCTGAGAATGCAGCCTCATTAGGTAGGATGTGGGCTTTCTTTTCACCACAGTGTCTGGAACAGTGGCTGATACATAGAAAACACACAATAAGTACTTGAGTATTTAAAATATTCGCAGGCTGGTCTGTTAGGTGTGCGACACCCTGCTCTGCACTGAGAGTGGAGTGGGACGTGGTCCATCCACAGGGCGCCGTGCCGAGGCCCAGCGGGAAGAGCGGCTTTCTCGCCACCACGCACCAGCTGCCGTGCCTCCTGCCACACGCCCTCAGCCCACCAACCTGGGCCTCTTAGACACACTCAGATGGCCCCTCCTCCAGAGAGCCTTCCATGATCGTGCACCAGCATACATCACACACACGTGCACATGCACATGCACACACACACGGTCCCTGTGTGGCTGCCTCTGCATCTGGTCCCTGCACAGGTGTCTGTGTCCCTGGCCTCACTCTGTCATGGCTGTCGGCACAGCTCTCTTTTCGTGACGCTTTTCCACTAGACTGAGCTCCCCCGGAGCTGGGACCGTGTCCCCAGGCTCAGCAGGGGTCTGGTTACAAAGTAGACAGGAAGTGTTTGTTGAGTGAATGGAGGGTTAAATCCGTATAAAGTGATTGAAACCCTGCTCACCGTTGCACTGCCGTCAGTTGAGGGGAAGAAAGACATCGCATGGTCTGTCCGTCCCAGCGTGGAAGGACTGACTGCTCGTTCCCCCCCAGGCCTGCTCTCCATGGCCAACTCCGGCCCGAACACCAACGGCTCCCAGTTCTTCCTGACGTGTGACAAGACGGACTGGCTGGACGGCAAGCACGTGGTGTTCGGGGAGGTCACGGAAGGCCTGGATGTCTTGCGGCAGATCGAGGTGGGTGCTGCCCAGGCCTCGGTGCACAGCCTGTGGGACAGCGGAGCGGCGCCCTGTGGCCTGGAGGGAGCCAGCTGCTCGAGGAGGAGGCTGCTCTGCTCAGCCTGGGAATGGGGGGATGGGTGTCCCTGAGCCCCTTTAATCTTCACCCTCCCTCCCCATTTCTTCTCTTCTCTTCTGTTCCGCCCGCAAAGGCGCAGGGCAGCAAGGACGGGAAGCCGAAGGAGAAGGTGATCATCTCTGACTGTGGGGAGTACGTGTGAGAGGCGCCTCCTCTGCACCACCCCGCGCATCCAGGATCCGGCAGCCCTGGGGACCCAGCACCTGTTAACGGGGGTCTGTGCCGTGGCCTCCTCGGGCTCAGCTTGGAGCAGCTCCTCTGCAGGCGTGGCCTGGCCTTCCCCTGGCTCTTCCAAGCACAGGCGCCACCCTCCCCACCGTGGATGGCTGTGCGCGGCCTTTCTCCTAGTAAAATAAACCCCAGTTCCTGTACGGCTGCCTGCTAGCCAGGTCCCAGCATTTCCGGAGGTTGCAGCTGTCACCGTCTGTCCTGCCCCTCCCCTGCTGCTCCCTCCTCCCAGGCTGTCCCCGAGGCACACCCTGGTGGGACAATGCCGAGCAGCAGAGATCAGAGCAGGTGCCCTCCTGGTACCTGACAGGCGCGTTGGGTTAGCCAGACTGCAGTTCTGCTCTCACACCTGCTGGTCTTGAGTCTAATGGGTCCCCGTAGTCAGTCTCGGGCCCGTTTACTGGCTCACTGAGCCACCGAGCCAGGGATCACAGCTGCTACCGCAGAGTACCAGGGCCCTTCTTTTGCCAGGCACTGTGCCCGGTGCTGGGGACACGTAAGAAACAAGCCTTGTGCTCGCTTCAGCAGCACATACACTAACATTGGAGCAATAAGAGGATTAGCAGGGCCCCTGCGCAAGGATGACATGCAAATGCGTGAAGCAGTCCATACTTAAAAAAGAGAAGAAGCTTCTCCCCTCCCCCTGGAAATTGTAGTCTGGTGCCACGGTCTGTAGCCTGTGGGAGGCCGGCCTCACCTGCACAATTGGGGCTGGCTAGGCCCCCTCACGGCCTCTCATGCTGAGGCTGAGCCCCAGAAACCTCCAGGGCTGCCACTGCTCCCGCTGCCTGTCAGTTGCTCTGAATCAAATCTCAACATTCAGAAACCGCTGGGCTGGTTCTCATTTTGGGTTGAGATCAGGTTGAGCCTGTAGGGGAGGGAAGGAGAGGGGCCCACTGGCCTGTGGCCCCGTGTCCCAGGCCTGCTCCTGCAGAGGGTTGGATGAGCCCACCTCTGGCATCGGGAGCTCATTGCACGGCCCACAGTGTTCCCAGCAGAGACCCTTGCTGCTTGGCCTAGGCGTCCCGCTCACAGGTGGTCAGTCACAGCTGCCAGGACCGGCAGCAGGGAGGCCAGGAGAATGGCAGCCATTCAGGGCTGGTGTGATGAACTCGGCATGGCCAGTCTGGGTGTGACATGCTGTTACATGGAGCAGGCTGGCCAGGCCCCAGGAGGGAGGGCTGGTCTCACAACCCTGAGAGACCAGGGAGAGGCTGTGGGGGACCTTGTCGCTCACTGGGCTTCCCTGGTGTCCTGGGAAGGTGGGAACAGCAGACTGGCCAGGAGGCTGGAGGGTGGGACAATAGGGTGCTGGCTGCTCACCCCTGGGCTGTGCAGGGGCTTCCCCAGAAGTCACCCCTGGGTCCACCATGACCCTTGTACAGGTGCTCACCCTGAGGTGAGGTGGCAGGGCCAGCCCAGGGACCGCGGGGGTGGTCTCTTCCCCTGTCCTCTGGGGAGGACCGCTGAGACCTGGTTTGTAAGAGAAAAAAGGCAGAAGTCTAGATGTGGAATGCTGCTTAAATTATGTTTTCAAAGAATATTTAATAATTTCAGAATATATCATAAATTGAATAAGTCAGCTCACCAAGCAGTGCATAGGATATGATTCTTACTTTGTAAAATATCTGTATCTTATGTATAAAGACATACATGTGCCAATAAAAAAGACTGGAGGAATCATTAATGATAGTTTTCTCTGTGGTGGGGTTATGTGTGTTCATATCGTTTATTTTCAAACATTTCCTCAGTATACATGTAATATTTCCTACGTGAGGGAAAACCTAGCAAAGGGAGTCAAACGGTTGCTCAAGGCTCCCAGAGAGTCATTCCCTTCAACTTCCCATGAGGCCGCAGGTGGACACTGCCGGTCACTGCTGGCCAGGGCTCCACAGCCAGGGGAGGTGCAAGCCCGCCCTCACACCAAGAGATTACCCAGTTAAAACAAAAATTACCAAGTTTAGATTTTTAGGGAGAGCACAGCTTTGAGGAGAATACACCAGCACCTCCAGGTGTCCAGGTGGCGACCTGAGACTCAGAAGAGTGAGTTGGAGTAGGCACACACGGAGGCCCACATTTGCAAATTATTTTGAAATAAGACCACTGATAGATGCTACTCACTGCACACACATGCTCAGATGTGCCAAGTGCGCTGTGCACAGCCTGGTCCCCATCACGGCCTTGCAAGGGCAGGAGCAACACCCTTTCTACTGGGGGGACCGCTAACGCAGGTTACGTAACGTAGTCAAATTAACAAGAGGCCAAGCTGGGATTTGCTGCCAAGTCTGGTGACAGCCTCCTTTCCTGTGAAATTGTAGGGAATTTCTCGGGGCACATTACCCACTTCCCCACAAACATGAAAGACGAGAGCTGTGCCTGATAAGCTGGCATCGGCCAGGGCTGCGTCCGATTGCGAGGGGTGCTGAGAACAGCAGTTTCCCGCACGGAGTGGCCCCCCTCGCCTGTCCTTTGCATCCTGTGTCAGCGATGACTTGGCTGTCAGTGGGCCTGAGGCGCCCTCCCTTATTCATGCTTCTGATGCGCAGCCTCAAATGTAACCTGGGCTGCCAGGCAACCAGACAGACAAGGTGTCCTTGGTAACAGCGCTGCCACCTCTCCAGCTTTGCGTCTGTGACGTCTCCCTTCCCCGAGGCCTTTTCCATTGGATGCCGTATGGTGGCCGCCTGGATAGCTGATGGTGCTGGAAGTCACAGGAAAGCCATGGCTGCTGTACTGTCAGCTCGACTGCGTGAAGGGACTCGTGTCTCATTCCTGTTCCGCTGGGCGAGGCAGGCTGCATCTTTAAAACATTCATTTCACGCACTTTCCTGGCACCCTTAACTGTGCCAAGTTATGTGTGAGGCACAGCAGAGACCAAATATTGACATGTTGGTAGTTTCCAGGCCCCCCCTGCCCTGGTGTTGGAAGGAGGGAGATGTTCAGTAGGTCCAGGTTTCATGTCCTTGGCCGCTGGGCACCTGGCTCTGAGATGAGGGGAGGGTGGCAGGCGCATCCTTTGGCTCCAAGGCCTTTGGAGATGAAAGAGTCCTATGGGCTCATGCCACAGAGGGGAGACAAGCCTGAATCGGGAAGGGGATTGGTTCAGACAGCACGCAGGTCAGTGGCTGGCTGAGTTGGAACCAGAATACAGATCTGACATTCCCGCCAATGCCTGGTCCGATCCCTGCCAGCCTGAGCTCAAAGCCCCCGGCGAATGGGGAGCTCCCTGCCTTCCAGACAGTCTGGGACTATCCTCTGTGTACACAGGAAGGGCCTCTTCCTCGGCAATCTCTCCCAGAGTACCTCCCAGTCCAGGGGTCGGGGCTGCAGCCCGGCCAAGCCTCCACCCCTGCCCCAGACCTGCTCTCCCAGAGCCTGCCCTCAGGGTGCAGAGTGGATCCCAGGGTGCGCGTCCTTGGGCACACGGGTCGTTCTGCCTCTGTGGGCCGTGCCTGTGGGTTGGGGTGGGCCCAGGATCTGCTATTAACGACACAGTATTTCTGGGTTCAGGCAGTTGGACTGTCTGCTCCAGCAGGTAAATTACAGGGTTAGCAAGTCAGAAATCAAATCAACACTCCCACTGCCTCGGCTGCTCCAAGAACAGTGGTTTCCGGGAACCTTCCCACCCAGCTCACCCTAATTACTGCCTGTCACAGGGGCCTTTTCTTGGGCTCTCAGGCCCCAAGAAACAGGACACAGGGTGACCATTCTATTCCTACCTTCTAGACTCCAGCAGACACCGACGGTGGCCACCCTCGCCCTTTGCCTGGCCAGAAGTGGCCTAGGCCCTCTGCTCCGGGGAATGCACTGCTCCTTAGCAGGGAGGAGCGGAAGCCTGTTCGTCTCAACTCTGAAAGGTTTGTATTGAGGTTTTTAAGACCCTGTCCACATTCAGCGGGGAAAGAACCTGGGTGCTCACTGACGGCCACGCGAGAGGCTGGGCAGTGGTGAGGTCTGTGCCGCGAGTCTGCCAGCGCCGCCGCTCGCTGCGCACACTGTCCTTGCTTCTGCTAAGAGTTACCTTTGTCCAGTGCTGAGCCCCACCTGGGGGCAGTGAGGGAACTGGAAGCCCCTGAGATTTCTTGCTTCTCTGGGAGTCACGCCTCTCCAGGCAGGAGGGCAGGCCCAGGGCATGAGCCCCTCTGGCTTGTTCTTTCTCTGATGTGCTTACTACTGAGGACATGCACGTGTCTAGGCCCTGGAAATGCCCATGTTGTCCTGGGAAGGGGCAACCCCTGCTCCCACCCCCGAACCTTGGCCCAACCAGACAGTTGTACACTCAGACTGGCCTGGGTCATCCACAGTATGGGCCACGAAGGCCAAGGACAGTCCTCAGATAGGCCTCTGTGCTGATACCATGGCTGCTGTGTGTGGCCGTCCCTACAGGTTGGGGTGGGACAAACCACAGACCCTGGGGAAGGGGCGCAGGGGCCTGGAGAGGACCGACCAGACCCTGGCTGAATGGGGGCAGATATGAGAGCCCTCCCTTCGGCCCCTCCAGAGCTACGGTGGCATTTGAGGGCCTCAGCCTCTGGAGCGGGGCTGACCCCGGCGGGAGGCGCTGCTGCGGCCGGCGGGGCCTCAGTGGCAGCCGCAGGCCTTGACCACCATGTTGCGGTGTTTGCGCAGGATGACGTTGTTGCTGCTGTCATAGTAGAGCACGGAGGTGGCGCTCAGCTTGGTGGGCGCGCAGCACGCCTTGGGCACTGCGTCTGGCTTCATCAGGTGCACCTGGCCGGGGAGGGGGCGGCAGGCAGAGTGTGAGCACTGGGGCCTCCTCCAGGACCCGCCCAGCGCCTGGCCTCCCGACCCCTCCCATCTCCAGCCATAGCCAGCGCAGTGTGGTGTGAAAATCTGCTCACCTTGACCCCTGCCCTGCCCCGGGCCCTTAGGACACAGCCTGGGCACCTGTCAACTCCCTGCCACACCCACTCCCCTCAGACCTGAGGGCCCTGCTGGTCCCCAGCACACAATGTGCCTGGTGGCAGGTCCCTATGCCTGAGGCCCCTGCAGCACCCCTCCCCCCACCCCCAGAACTCCTCCACTCTTTCCTCTTCTTGACTTCTTTTAAAAAAATGTTTTTATTGATTTCAAAGATGAAGGGAGAGAGAGATAGAAACATCAATGATGAGAATCATTGATCAGCTGCCTCCTGCACGCCCCCTACTGGGAATCGATCCCTCAACCGAGGCATGTGCCCTAACCAAGAATCAAACTGTGACCTCCTGGTTCATGGGTCCCGCTCAACCTCTGAGCCACACTGCCAGGCTTCTCTGGGCTTCTGCAATGACCCTGATCATGCCTTGTCCACTTCCTTGTGTCCACTTCCTTCCTGTCTCCCCCTCCTGGCTGATCCCAAGAGTGTTCATGGAGCAACTGGGGGTTCAACACCATCATTTCTCAAAGCACTTTTCACCCTCCTCACAGCTTCTCAGATGAGTCTGACTCTGGGCGATGAAGGAACAGCGCACACAGGCCACGGGCGCTGGGGCAGGACTCGGACCAGGTGCGGTGAGCCTGCTCCCTCTGCCTGAACCGCTTCCCCACCAGGAAAGAGGCTGATTCGAAGGGAAGGCAGGGGAGGGTGGGTGGGTGGTAGGTTATCAACCAAACACCTTGTATGCATATATGCACAACCCATGGACACAGACAATAGGTTGGGAAAGGCCTGGGGCGGGCTGGAGGTGGTCAATGGGGAAAAAGGGGACATATGTGATACCTTCAACAATAAAGATGAAAATTAAATAAATAAATAAATAAATAGATCAAGAGCCTGACTGTGGAGCTATTTCGGCCTCCACACAAATATTTATCCTGCGACTTGGCAGGATGAGCTGAGTTAGCACTGGACGCCTGGTCAGGGCCCACGGCGGCGGCCCGAGCTCTGGGGCAGGAGAGGAAGGACACGGGCTTCCATCCGTGGGTGTTGGGGCCGCTCCGAGGGCCCAGGACCGTCCAGCCCTACGGGGGCTGCAGAACCTGGTGAAGCTTTCTGATGGGGGCCTGTCCGGCAGTCTGGTGCCTGTTCCCCCATGCCCACTGGTCCCGGGAGCCCCAGCTCTGGGCCAGCCTGCCAGGAGGACTGTCAGCCGGGCACTGAGCTGGCGTGGGGCCCAGAGCCTCTCTGCAGCCACTGGGAAGCCCAGGCCTCTGCGGGGATGTCAGCCAGACTGGACAGGGGGCCACTGCTCCCAACTTCCAGCCTCCACATGAGGTGTCTGGGCTTGGCATTCGAAGGCCCACGTGACAGGAACCAGGCAGCACCGCCCGGGCGTGCCGGCCATGGGCTCTCAGTGGGGGGAGCGGGGAGGGCCTTTCCGACCTGGGACCCGGGAGAGAAGTCGGGCCTCAGGGACCTGGCCTTTCTGAGAGGAGAGCCCTGTGCACAAGGGCTATGGGTGACTCTCCCGACTCGCCGTGAGGAGGGTGGTGAGCACACACGCCTGTCTCTCACCTTGTGTGCACGTGTCACTTGAGGTTGAGCAATCCCGTGCACACGGGCACACGTGTTCAGAGTGCACAGGTTCCCAGGTGGGGTGGACGTCTGTTCTGTGTGTGTGTGTGTGCATGTGAGTGTGTGCATGTGAGTGTGCACACCAGCAGCGAGTCTGCATACGCAGCTGGCCACACAGGGACCTGCACCTGCACAGGTGTGGGAGTTTAACGACACCTGCACTCAGCCATGCACCAGCCAAGGTTCCACGTGAGAACCTCCGAGAGACGGAGCAGGTGCCCCCATTCCCCTCCAGGCGGCCCTCCCCGGGCCCGGGCAGCACAGGCTGGGTACTGACCAGGGACTGCACGATGGCGTGGTTGGTGGCGTTCATGCAGGAGTCCAGCGGGAAGGAGCACTCCCCCTCACAGTAATAGGCTGAGTAGCCTTGGGGGGCGATGACCCAATCCTGGGTGGGGAATGGAGAAGGTGAGTCCCACCATGTGGCCCCTCCCATGCCCCCCCACTAGCACCTGTCACAGGAGGATTCAGGGCTGTCCCTCTCCCTCCATCCCTCAGCCTCAGGGACCTGTCACTCACCCTCGGCCCCTCCTGAGCAGCCTCCCCGCCCCCCCTCCCCAGCCCCGAAGCCTGGCGTCCACCCCAAGACCCTCAGCAGACAGGACTGGGAACAAGCCCTGTGGTCCTCGGGGTGGTCCTCCCGCTGCCCCACCCCCAACCTCCTGCAGCTGCTGTCACTGCAAAGGCTCAGCTGTGCGGCCACCCCGGCCTCAGGCTCCCTTTGTAGCGCTGACATTTTATGGCTCAGGATGCAGACTCTCTCCATTTTCACAGTTTTTACCAAAAAAGGACCTTTCCACCATAAAAGTAACACATTCTCCTTTTAGAAAACTTGGAAAACTCAGAAGATAATAATATGAGGAAAAAAAATCCCCCAAGTCTACCTCCTCCTGGAGAGACACCTGACCTTCAGGGGGGTCGTCATTTAGGAGAGAAGGGAGAGGAGAAATTACCAGCCAGCCGAGGTCCTGGAAGCTGACATAGAGCTCGTGCCGACGGCACACCTGCCGACCGTGGGAGCCGTGGGCGCCATCTGCGGGGACAGACGTGCGAGGTCTTTCCTGGGGCCCTGCTCTGTGCCGCGGCCACAGGGGCTCCCTGGGCGGGGACGCCCTCACGGGCACATTTGTGGGATAAGTGAACGATGGAAAACCAAGCCATTGGGTCCCTCAAAGCCCATCCCTGCTGCTCTGCTGGTGTCGGACCAGCTCAACAGCCTTCGATGGCTTCCAGTGGCTCCAGAGGAAGCCACGCTCCGCCCAGCCTCCCGCTCAGCCTGTGGGCCTCCTGATGCTCCATAAACAGCCCAGGGAACCTTTCTGCCACCAGGTGGTGGCAGCTCCTCCTTCCCTCCTGAGACACCTGCCCGCACCCCACCCGTCCTGCCACACCCCTGCACAGGTCACGTGGCTCATGTTGAGGCCAAACAAGGGGGTGAGGCCCGTCCCCCTGATTCTGAGGGTCTCGCCTGGTGGGGAGACCTTCGCCTAAACAATTGTGCATCCCGAAGGTGCCTGAGGGAGAGCCGCGGGCACAGGGGCGGTGCTGCCCGGAGGAAGGGCACCTGGTTCTGATGGAGGCGTCAGGGGGGCCCTGCGGAGCCGGGGGAGGCCTGAGAGACAGTGCATGGCCGGTCCACAGGGGGCGCGGGGCAAGGGAGGGTGTCAGGAGGGTGGCTGGAGGGTGACCACTGGCTTGACCCCTTGTGAGGGCCAGAAGGTTCTGCCCCCACCACTGGTCCTCGGCCTGCAGCCTCGCGCCAGGCCGCCGGGCCTCACCAAAGATCCCCGGGAGCCTGTTGGGCTGCGGCAGCTCGTTGGTCTTCTTCAGCAGCCGCCTCCTCAGGGGCCTCACCGCCCGAGGGGCCCGGACGGGGCTGGGGCTCGCCCTGAAAAACGTGACCACGAAGGGCTGTCGGGAGCGCGGTGCCCGTCGCCCCAGCAGACCGGCCAGGCCCGGATCCACGCTGCGCCCTGAGACAGAGAGGAGAGAGGGCGGTCACCGAGGGCGGCGGCTCTGCCGTGGGCACAGCAGCAGCTCTGCCAGGGCCGGGGCGGGCCCAGGGGCCTGAAGGCTGCGGACCTGAGGCGGCCGCCGTGCCTGCTTCCCTCCTCTGAAGACCGGAGTCCAAGTCCAGCCCCGGCCCCGGGCAGCGGGTCTGAAGGAGACCGTGGGAGGAGGGCCTCGCGACCCCAGGGTCAGCGTTGGTGATGTCACAGAGCCACACGGCGGCCCCCCCCTCGGTCTGGGGCCTCCTGGGCCCGAGTCTCCCTTCCCGCGTCCTCCTGGGGTGCTCCTGTGGGAGGGTGGCACCCGCTGATCGGCGCAGCTCCAGGGCGGGGCTGGTGCTCACCGGCCCGAGAGCAGGCCTCACTGCTTCCCGACGCCGCGGACACACACAGGCTCAGTGGGCGGACACTGGACCACAGTCCCAGAGCCCGGGTCCACCCAGGTCGGTCTCATTCCAGAGCCCGTTCCTATCCACAGGCCCGGTCAGTGGCTAAAAAAGAAAGGAGGGCTGCGGGCAGGGCAGGACTGGGGCCCCGCCCTCGGAATAGTGAGGTCTACAAACAGGAATTGACCCACAGCCTTAAAGACTGAGGCCGCTGTGGAAACGCTCATTCGCCCTGCAGCGTCCACTCCCCAAGGCACCTCTCTCCCTGGCCTCTCCCTATTCCCACGGGACCTCGCGATGCTCTCACTGTCGCAGCAACATAACAACTGTCGGGAGACTTTAGAGAAAAAATGTCCCTCATGCACCACAATTCACTGAGAGATCAGCTTATTGCTAGACGTTGAGGTTGCTTCCTGGCTTTCATCATAAAGAAGAGGAGACAGAACCTCTTCACTTTCTTTCCTGTGGAATGTTAGCAGGAGCGTGATGACGAACTCATTTCTGTTTCTCAAACACGGTGACCACCATTCCACTTCCGAGTGCATTCCCCTCAGTGTTGCAGCACGGACACACACACACATGCACACCCATGTCTGCACACACACACAGGCAGGCATCATCATGTACAGTGTGCAGACGCACACATACGTAGGCCTATATACGTGTGCTATGAGCAGGTCTGACATGACCCCCATTGGACACCACAGGCCAAGGACAGTGCCTGCCCCACCCACACGCCTGCTCAAAGGTCAGCTCTTAACAGCTGTGCTCAGGCCTGCGTCCATGGGCCTTAGTGAACTGACACCTGATGAATCCTCAGACCAACCTTTGACCTATGACATCACCTGCCACAGAACAAAGCTCTAGGCCCATCAGAGGCTCCACGCAGGACTGAACCTGCTAGGACAGGAGGTTGAAGCTGCAGGCGCTGTTGCTGGAAGGAGCCCAGACAGAAGCCATTTGGGAGAGTTTGGGTCATGGTGAGTCGCAGTCAGGAGGACGCAGGGGAACCACGAGGACACAGGCCACAAGACCCATGGAAGCTCGGTGAGCAGAGGGGACAGGCCAGTGAGGCCAGGACAAGGCGGCCACGGAGCCATGAGCAGATGGGCGCCTGTCATCAGGTGGCACTGAGTGGAGCTCCACGGCCTGGCTGACGCAGGGGGACGCCTCGGGCCCAGCAGCCCCCAGCCTGTGTGTGCGGCTGCCCTGTCCTGTTCTCTGGACAGCTCTGCCCACTGGGGCCCGAAGGACATGCCCGGGGGCTATGCTCACTGTGTGTTTTTCTTTATGCAACTGTCTATTCGGGGATCTTATTGGGGTGTCCTGGGTGCAGAGAGAAGGACATAGCAGATCAACTAGCAACGCCACTGAGGCAGCCTGTGGGGAGCCTGACTGAGATCCTGAAGCAGCTGATCCTAGGTCCCACTTCACAGAAGCAGAAACCAAAGCCCAGTGAGCAGCACCTGTTCAAGGTCCCAAGCAAGCTGCAACCAGCCAGGACACCCCCACCCACCCCCAGCACACCCTGCAGAGGCAGGTCTGGGGCAGGGGGGCCGGACTAGGGGACTGACCCCAGTCTTTCAGACGGCCTAACCTGGGAGGCCTGGGCATGGACTCCCCGGCCCTCCTTCCAGAGCCCAGAGCTCCCCTCCCATCATCTTGAGCAGGGCTCCCTGCCTTCTCCTGGCTGTCTTCTTGGGGGGCCCCTCGGCTGCCAGCTCTGACAGGCCCCTTTCCAGAAAGGCGGAGATGGGAGTTTGGGAGCCTCTGGGGTCCAGGTACTGCCTCTAGACCTGACCTGTGAGGTGCTGGCAGGCATGCCATCCCCGTTGCAGTAGATGGGGTATGCGAGGCCATGCCTGGAGCTGTGGGCCACGCAGGATGGAAGATGCTGCTCCTCTGAGCCGGGTAGGCCCCATGGGACCTCTAGCCTCATCCATATCCGAGTCGCCCCATCAGAGCCCAGATGCCTTGGCAGCTCCCCTGCCCGATCCTGTCCTAATTCATGCGCCTCCCAGCTGTGCCAGGCCAAGCCTCTCCCTAGGCTTCCTTCTGCTCTGGGTGCCCCTGCAGCCCCTGCTCCACCTCAGCCTGAAGTCACGGATGTGACCCTGGTGCCATGTTGAAGGTCACTCGGATGCCTGGTCGAAACCCTGGAGGGCATCCCAGCTGTGGGCCTGGTCTGCTTTTGCCCCTTAGGCAACTTCATCGCGTGAGGATGGGAAACCCAGTCCTTTTCCTCCTTTCTACTGCTTAACAGCCCTGTAACTTGTCGGCCCCTGGGAGCCTCTGCCTGTCCCACACTGCCACTGGGACGTCCCGACTCCCAGGGCACATCTGCCCAGGAGCCCCCAAAGGTGTCTACTCCATCCCACCCACCCCATCTGGTCATGCCCTGGCCTCTTCCCCCCAGACCCCCAGGCTGTGCCCTCAGTGAGCACTGCCTCCCACCTCTCCATCCCAGGACCTGTCCCTTCCTGGGGATGAGACCCCTGCGAGGCCTCTCTGAAAGGCCTTCCTTGACCAGCTGGAACTCCCTGGTCTTACCCAGGGGCTCATGTTGGTTGTGCGCCCCCTAGAGCCATGCTTAGGAAGTGCAAGCTCCAAGTCCGGTTTTAACCCACCCCTCGGCCCACCCCTGCCCCAAACACACACCTACGAACTCACTTTTTTCTAAGTCTTTGAGACTAAGGATTCAGGATGGAATCCCACAGGCCCCTCTTGGATGACAAGAGAATATTAACAAGAGGCCGGGTCAGGCTCCACGACAGAGAGGGAGGACAGAGAGTCAGTTCAGGAGGACACAGGAGCACTGGGTCACGGTGAGAAAACCCGTCTGAGTCCCTCGGTTAGGTTTCTAGAACTCCTCCTAGTGGAAGCCACAGCCCTTGGCAACACACAGGGGGACTGTCTATGGAGGAAACCCTGGTGGCACCCACAGCCCCTCCCCTGCATCCTCCCACGACCAGGTCACGTCCCCGGCGCGGTCCTCCTTTCCTTCTGGGACGTGCACGGAGCCACGGGGAGGCGGCGTGTGGGGAAGAGGAGGTGAGGCTACAGGAAACAGAATCCAGCCACAAAATGAAAGGCCCAGCAGAAAAGTCAGAAGGGCCAAAGGAGAAAAGCTTTCATTTAGGCAGCATGTCTTCCCACCATGGCCTGACATTTATTTATTTATTTATTGGTTTTTGTTTTTTTTTAAAATATATTTTATTGATTTTTTACAGAGAGGAAGGGAGAGAGATAGAGAGTTAGAAACATCGATGAGAGAGAAACATCGATCAGCTGCCTCCTGCACATCTCCCACTGGGGATGTGCCCGCAACCCAGGTACATGCCCTTGACCGGAATCAAACCTGGGACCTTTCAGTCCGCAGGCCGACGCTCTATCCACTGAGCCAAACCGGTTTCGGCTATTTATTGGTTTTTAATGCCCCTAGCCCAGTGGTCGGCAAACTGCGGCTCGCGAGCCACATGCTGCTCTTTGGCCCCTTGAGTGTGGCTCTTCCGCAAAATACCACGTGGGGGCGTGCAGGTACAGTGCGATTGAAACTTCGTGGCCCATGCGCAGAAGTCGGTATTTTGTGGAAGAACCACACTCAAGGGGCCAAAGAGCCGCATGTGGCTCGCGAGCCGCAGTTTGCCGACCACTGCCCTAGCCGGTTTATAAATTGCATTATTATCACTGTTATTATTTTATTTAAATTTTCTTTCTCAAAAATACATTCCTAAATATACAAACTATACAATCTTGTCATTTTCATGCTGTTTTTTTTTGTATTTTCTTTTTTTTTTAATAATAGAACCCAAACTAAAAAATAATCTTCACCTTCAAACCAGAGGAGCGCTAGAGGACGTGGGACGCAGAACCTTCATATAACACCACATAAATAACGCGGCACAGTCTGCTCACGGCAGGGCCCCGGACTAGAGGAAATACTTTTCTGGAGCTCAGACATCGTCTGTGGAGAGGGTTGGGGGTGTTCATCCGCGGCCTCGTGAAAACATGCATCTTCTCCCTGAAAGACTGCACTTCCAGGGGCTCCTTGCAGCTCTGGCCTCAGCCTGTGCACATCCTTGGCGGCCGCCCTCATCATCTTGTCTGTCCACAGCTCACCTTATGCCCCGCGCGGTCCATCTGCTTCTCCAGCATCCTCAGCAGCAGCCGGAAGCGCTCCTCCTCCTGCAACCGCAACCCCGGGGCAGCTCCTTCTCCCCGTGGCTCCTGGCTTGTTCGAGCCGCTCCTTGAGCTCCCTCAGCACCGACATCTCCTGCGTCAGCTGGCTGTGCCAGGTCCGGGTGGCCTGCAGGTCCAGCGAGGTGCGCATCAGGGGCTCGTGGCGCAGGGATTTGAAAGATGAAGGCCGCTCATGCGGACGCTGTGCTGCTCCAGAGAGTTTCGAGCAAAAGGTGGCTTCTTGGGCAGCGTGGAGCTGTCGCGGTCCCTCCGATTCAGCCGGCACACGGATTGGCTCTGGGGTCCAGGGGAGGACTCAGAGCGGATGATGGCGCTTCCTCGAAGAAATGGCGCTGGGGACGTTGTGCCCACCCGCCCGTCCTTGGGCCGCACCACTG